AAGAGAAGTCAGGTCTCAGTAAGTTAGGAAGCAAGGTGATAGGGAAGAAGCACTTGTATATACAAATTTGTGATAAATGAAGGCAAATTTAGGGGGAGATAAACATATAGTGTTTCTTTTTTACAAAGGAATAGGAAACATGTTCCTATTTGAAAACGCCTATTGGAGCCAGGCTGGCACATGTAAACAAATGAAATGGCCTTGGATAGGATGATGGGTGGTGAGGGAAGACTGGATCAGATTAGTGTATAAGCCCATCTACAGACAGCAGCTAACTCAGCTCAACCAGATTATTGCTCCAAAGAAATTAGAGCCTAATATTGTCAAAATTTCCTGAATTGGGTGAAAAACATACTCACCCTGTAGGGCGCCACTTTACTCTCTCTAGTCTAAAAAAAAAAAGAGTTATTGAAAAGCACACAAATAAAAGCATGGCCAAGCAGAACTAAAATGTGGCTAACATTACACGGTGTAAGTATGGAGCAATATGTTGTGCCATTATAATGCAGACGTGATTAATAAAGGTTGAGGACTGGTTCAGTGAAGGATAGAGTACCAGAGACCAAAGGAACAGCACTTAGACATGAAGCATAAACGAGAAAGCTCATCCAATGAAGAAAGGAAAGATTCTAAGAAGAGAAAGAAGAGTCTGAATAAATGAAAGTCCATCTTAAAATAAGTTTAACAGTTAAATGTTGGAAACAACAGACATTTCACTAAAAAGTGACAAACTTAGACTAAAGGAAAAGTGGGATTTTGATTATGAAAATTATATTTATTCATTTATTTTATTCAAAATGGGAAAAGTGAAGACACTTTCACAAGATCTTTTGATCTGACATTATTTAAAAATGGATAATAGTTATCATAAATAGTATTAGTTATATAAGGCAGATCATTAAAAGGGAATATTTTGCCTTGAAAATACCCCACCAGTGAGGTTAAGAAGGAAGCACCCTTCCTAGTCCCATTCTGTTCTTCAACCCTTTATTGAGTTTGCCAAAAATACCTGGAGCCAGCAGAGACAGAAGATAGACATCTGGCCACTTAAAACTATCTGGAACGATGCCATATGCACACGTGCTAAGGAATAAATTAATAATCACTACACCACTCTGGTCTGCATTGAAAACTGACCTAAGTGATAAAACATTTTAATTTCCTTTCATGTTTAAGAACTTCCAGTGGTCTTTCAATTAGATTCAAACATATTCTAGATAGGTAAGTAGCATGATTTAGTCATTCAAATGATAATCATTTAGCAATTACTATATGAAAAGTGCTATTCAAAGCACAATGGTAAATATGAAAAATTAATCAGTCATGAATAATGTCATGAAGAAGCATCTGCCAAATAGAAGAAATAACAGAATATACATGCATAAATAACTACAAATAAATTTAAAATCTAAAGAGGTATCCAGGAATAAGTATAAGTGTCAGGAAGAAGATGAATGGAAAAGATTCCACCATTTAAAGATTCCTATTCAAGATAAAAAACAGAATTCAGACCTCCAGTTTCCTATCCTAACAAGCCATTCCTAGTATCACACAGAGGACAATCTTGTACTCAACATGGGAAAATTGACATCATACACAGAAAACTCAACCTGGTCTTGCAAATTGTTAAACAAAGAACAGGACACATGCATCTAGATCTCCAAAAGATCCTTGGCTTCAAGGCATGACAATAGGGACAGCAGGTTCAAAAAGGAGTTCATGGTGGAATGAATTAAATAACCATCTTCACTTGTGCTTCCACACCAGGTACAGGACCTAAAACCACTGCCCCACCCCCTTATTCCCTAACTCAGGTGCCTCTCTCCTCCCCTTATATTTATTTAGCTACTTGCATCTCCATCTCCCACAAAATACTGTTAACTCCCTGAGAACAATGATCAAATGATCTTCTCCCCATTGTCTACTTGTTGAATTACCTCTGGCCTAAATAAAATACATTCCTGTTAAAATTCTCTGAACAACCTATTTAACAAGTCAGTTGCAGTCACTAACCGAACCTACAATAAAACCTCTGACTATCTGTCCAAAAGTAGAGGCCTGCAACCAGTGGTCGGCAAACTCGAGAGCCACATGTGGCTCGTTGGCCCCTTTAGTGTGGCTCTTCCACAAAATGCCACACACGCACATACAGTGTGATTGAAACTTCGTGACCCATACACAGAAGTCAGTTTTCGGCTCTCGTACTGTTGATATTTGGCTCTGTTGACTAATGAGTTTGCTGACCACTGCCATAGACTATGCAAAAATATTTCTTTTAACTTTGAATTGTGTTCTCATTTTTACATTTGACTATGATTTTATTTATTTTTTTAATTTTAAAAAAAATATATTTTATTGATTTTTTACAGAGAGGAAGGGAGAGAGATAGAGAGTTAGAAACATCGATGAGAGAGTCATCGATCAGCTGCTCTTGCACACCCCCTACTGGGGATATGCCCGCAACCAAGGTACATGCCCTTGACCGGAATCGAACCCGGGACCCTTCAGTCCCCAAGCCGACGCTCTATCCATTGAGCCAAACCGGTCCCGGATTGACTATGATTTTATTACAGCCTCTTAATCATAGAGGAAGTATATATCTAATGAATTATCAGAAACAGTTGCTCCAATACCAAAATTACCTAATTTATTGAATGGTTGATTACTTTAATGATAAAAAAAAAAAAAAACTGACTCAGGTTTCTGAAAGATCTAGTAGGAGATTAAGTTGGAGCATCACAATGGCCCAAGTAGAAACACTAGGTTTTTTCTACCAAAATACAGACTAGGAATACAAAGCATTCATTCGCTCCTTCGGCCAATCAGATAGTCTGTACTGGTGTGGATTTTACACACAGCTCCAGTTGCTCATTTCTCTCCAATTAGCTAGTCACTAAAATTCACACAGGAAAACAAAAATAAGAGGATACTCTGAGTAGAAGGATGCTTTCCAGGAAAATCTGTAATACAATAAAGATCTGCTCAGGATCAGAATATATAAAAATATACAGTTATCAGACATGATTTCAAATATTTAAAAGTATCAGAAAGTTAATATGAATTCCAATAAAATAAATTACATATTTAGTTAGGATAAGTTAAATTTAGTTAGATTATACTCTAAAACTGACTTTCTAAGGTGTCAATAAATCCAAATAGCTTCTGAAATGACTTACATGAAATGCAAATTCAACTCCTCTTCAACTCGTGATAGTGTCTTCAGAAAAAGCATTAAGTCAAGAGAAGAGCTGTTTATGTACAGAGGCTTGAAGTCTCTTAAAAAGTAAAGTTTTATAATAAAGCCTAGATTATTAGTTCCATATAAACATAGTGAGTCCATGTTAAACATTGTCCATCAAACCTGGCATCTCATGTTTGTGCTAGCCGATTTCCTCATTGATTTGTGAATGATATAATAGTTTTAACCCAGACTTTGATTGCTAGCAGCAAAAGATAATAGATTTGATTGAATAGCACTTATACATTAAAAGGTCTACAAGAATATCACACTTCTCAAAGACACAACCCTTTGGCTGAATTTCATAAACCTCTCACCTGTTGGAACTGTGTGCCTCTATTCATAACAATCATTCCAGACTAACTACTGGGTAATCTGAAAACTACACTCAAACCACAACTGTGACAAACATCCCTTCTCCATAAACTTCAAAACTATTCCTCTTCCCCATAAGTCCTCCAAAGGATGTCTATGATTACAAACCTGTACACATACACACGTCTTTCATATCCCAGCTCTGCCCTTCCCTAGCCTGTAACCTTGTACAAGTTACTTAGGCTGTGCCAGTTTCCTTATCTATGAAATGGGACTAATAACTGTATCTACCTCACAGGGCTGTTATGAATATTGAATGATTTAATATTGGTATAGCACTTCAACAGCTACTCACACAAAGTGCTTGCTACTATTCTTATTTTCAATAGATTTCATACTATTAGATCTGAGGACATAAAATGAACAAAATCACTATCAGAGCAATTCAAAGCCTGCTCAAATGAGTCCACACACACACACACACACACACACACACACACACACACACACACTAACCTTCAATGCAGAGTATACCTGTCTTTGGGAAACAAACTTGCCAGCTAAGAACTACTTATTATGTAAATAATAAAAGTATATGACCAAATGACTAAAGCAGCAGGGAAGCAGTAATAGCAAGCACAGAATCACTATTTGCCTCCTTTTACAATGAGTAGAGGGGTGATATGCAAAAAATTTTCAAGTAATCATTGTTTTTAAACATTTTGGATCTGGAATCACTCTGAAAAACAACTTAAAATTGTTTTTTGGGTGTGTTGGGGTTTTCTTTGTATCACTCACTAAAAGTATTAAAAATGATGACAAATTTCCATTATTTTATAAAGATCACATATTTCATAAGTCAACTTTTCGTTTACTTGCAAAACATATTAGCAAATTTTCTTCAGATTCTCAATGGTTTCTTTCTAAGAGAACTTTTCTTATTTAAAGGAATAATACTGTAAACAAAGAAGACAGTAGATTCTATGCTGAGAATTCCTTTAAACTCAGAACCGGGTGTAGTTTACCCAGTTTCCAGTAGCTAAATGTTCTTCACTACCATAAGAACAGATATCCCTTATCAATGATAAATAATATTAGAAAAGCAAATAAATATTTGGCATACATGTGAAAAACAATTTGTTTCTACAGTGCTTCGAATTCTGTTATAAAAGACATTTTTAATCCATATCCTGTGCAAACAGAGCCTAAATTTTGTTCCCTTCAGATAAACATGTGCACTCACAACCACAGATTACCCCCAAATTAGCAGAAGTACAGGTACTTCATGAAATTTTTTATACAAAAATTAGGATAATCTAAAAAATTTAATGTTCATTTTTGTATAGAAACTAGAACACCATGACATTCTTACTCTAACAGAAGAACACATCAGTACAGGTCTTTACATCCATTAGAACATGACAGGCATGGTAAGTTGACTTGTTACCTTTTAAATGCTTCTGCTGGGTTCCTCTCACATTCCCCAGGCTGCAAGAGGCTCTGGATCGCTGGGTCCCTTAGCTTGTCCTCATATCCTTGGAGCAGCCCACTGTGGCAAATCTGGGCAACAAGCCCTCTAACAAACCCGCCCACACACAGCGTGTCCGAGTCCTGGGCTTTGCAGAAATGGAAGGCCAGAGCCTGGCGATGTAGACCTCTCTGCAAGCCTGTAGGTGAACTTGGCCACAGGAGCTCAGTACACAGGGCTGTCTTGCCACTGCCAGGCCCTCCTACCAACAGCACACCCCAGGCAGCGCCTTTTCCAGAAACAACACCAGCAGTGCTCCCAGAATTCACCAGGAGGGACGGCGTGTTGACAGTGCTGTTGCAGCAGTTAGTTTTCTCCTGGAGGCAATGCTGAAGCTTGTGGAAAACCCACTCCCTACAGTAAAACTGCTTCCCCTGCAGTAAACTCGTCTGGGCCATTTTGCAGACTTTCTCTTCCCAAGGATTAGTCATAATAGGCTTCTTATCTTCAACTTTTGCTAACATCAGAATACATCAACACAGGCCTTTGCATCCCCTAGGACACAACTAGCGTGGTGAACTGACTTGGAATGACAAGAGTCACCAGTTAAGGTAAAATTCAACAGCCACAGAGTCCATCTGTCAACAGAATGCACAGGACTTGACTTGGCTCTTGATTCTTGATTGTCAGCAGAGAATATGCTAGTTTAATTGTTGAACTGGTGAACACGTGCCTGGTTCCCAAGCTCAGCAGCGCTTTTTCTATATCTTGATGGGTCACGTGGCTCCATGGTTACAAGCGAGTTTATGTGATTGTAGATCCTTCAAGTATGCACATGAGACAATACATCTGGAAAACGAAAGAGAAAGCCCAATCTTTCAATTTGTACAAAATGTTCTCCAGATTCAAACTGTTAATTCTGTATCTGAGCACCGGGACAGAAAAGGTGTCCATTACAGTAAATGTCATCAGAGATTATAGTTATCCGGCAGGTAGGTAGCGCTACACCTCTTGTTGAAGCATAGCCCCTAAGACTGCTGGATCCCGCCACTTACAGGCACAGGGACCACTGCCAGGGACGCAACCGTGTAGGCTATGGTCTCTTTCATGGCATAAATGACAAGCCACTGTTAACCCCTCTTATTTCAAAGCATTTCATAAAATGCATTTTCCAAGACAAATTCTTAAAATGAACTTGTTCACAGGTTCCTCTTATAAGGTGTCTGGGTAATCGACAATTTCCACAAGTAAACGAAATAAAACAAAACAAACATATCTCCGTGCAAAATATAGGTTTCAAAGCTTACTCATCAAAGGATGCAATTTACCAGTTAATCCCCCAAAACCCACATTTTCATGATTGGCACTTTCAGAAAGTTGGGACAATGACCCCTACAAAAATGATTACATGTTTTCCTTCTGTATTTTTTTTTTTCTTCCACTATGGTCATGCTTTCCAAAGACCTACATTCTAATCGTTACCCTAGATTGGTAAAAGGTTAGAAGAGGGGCGGGGGAAAAAAAAAAAAAAAAAGAGGACTGCACACAGAGTAACATCCTTTAAGCCTTAGCCAAAAAGACCTTTCCCCTAGCTCGGTCAGAACGGCACCGGTTAAGGAAGCTCCATGAACTTGCACAGCCCAGCCAGCCAAGGAAGGACTCTGGTTTACTCGACTAGCCACACTTCTTTGTTGATAGTTTGCAAAATCCAGGGGCATGTATGTATACCAGGGCGGAGGCCGGATGGCCAAGGGTTAAACAGAAGAAAGAAAAAAAAAAAGAGGGGCGGAGGGGGATGATCTCACATGAATGATAAATCCAAACACAGGTACAACGTGAGTCTTTCCTCGCTCCGTGCCGAAGAGGACGGTGTCGGATGGGGGCGAGGAGGGCAGCCCACTCCCCCGGGGACGGGGACGGGGACGGGGACCGGCTGCCGGGGAGGATTCCTTCCCGGCAGAAAGGGGATGGGGAGTGGAGAGCCCCAGCGCCGGTGGTGGGTGTTTGCCTACAGTTCCGGCCGCTGGTTTCGGTGGCGGAGAGACAAAAGGAATTCCGGGATTCCCGGCGACAGAGCCATCTCCGTCTAGAAAGCCCCCGAGAGCCCCAGGGGGCCGCCTCGGTGGGTTGGGGGGTGCAATGGGGGGGGTGCAGACCGGGGTGCAGCCTCCTCGGGGAGGTCTTCGCTCGCACCGGCTGGGAAATCCTGGGCAGCCCGCCCTGCCCTGCGATTGGGGTGTGTCTTCTTCCAAGGGGGAGGGGTGCCCCACGTCCTTGTCAATCCCAGCCGAGGAGGGGTCGCCTCCGGACCCGCGCCCCCAGCTCTGCGCCCCCGACCCGCGCGCCGATCCCGCCCCCGCCCGCCCGCCCGGCCGCCCGGCCGCCCGGCCCTCCGCGCCGCGACGGGGTCCGCGCCGGCCGGAGTCCCAGCCTGGAAAGCGCGTGGGCGAGTCCGGTCCGAGCCCCGGCCGCAGCCCCCCGGGCTTCCGACCCGCGGAGCCTCGCCTGCACCGCCGCCGCCGCCGCCGCCCTCGGTTACCTCCGCCCCGGCCGCCGCCGCCGCCGCCGAATCTCAGCCTCAGACACTTGCTTCTCGGAGACGCCGCCGAGGCCAGCACGCCCGGCTCTCCCGCTGCAGCCGCGGACTCCGCCCGGCCTGGGGCGCGCTCCCCGCCCGCGCCGGATCCTCCGCTCGGCCCCGGCCGCTGCCAGCTCCTCCAGCTGCGCCGCCGGCCCGGGTCCCGCTCCTCCCAGCCCCCAACGGCCAACCGCCGCCGCCGCCGCCAGGGCAGTGACTGTCTCCAGCAGCCCCGGCCCGGCCGGCCCCGCCCCTCCCTGCTCAGGCCCCTCCCCTCCCGCCAGGCCCCGCCCACCGCTCAGGCCCCGCCTCCGTGGGCCTCTGCCTCCGCCGCAGGCTCCGCCCCTCCCCGCCCAGTCCCCGCCCAGCAGTCAGGCCCCGCCCCCTCCGGCAGCTGCTGGCTCCGCCCCCCCACCGGCGGGCCTGGCGCCGCCCTTGCCGGGGCTCCTGTGGCCGCCGGAGACCATCGCCTTGGGCCGCGGGGAGCTCTTCCTCGGGGCGGCCGGAGGCCCCTCCTTTCCCGGGGATGGGGCGGCGGAGGGGACGGAGGCGGCGCCCTCCGTCCCCGGGCTCACGGAGCCGCCACGCCCACCCTCCCGTCGCCGCTCGGCCCCGGCCTTCCTTTGTCTGCCGGGCCCCGGGGACCGGCCGGCTGCGGGGGCCGCATCCGCCCGTGGGCCGGGCCGCCGGGCCGGGGGAGGGCCCCTCGGGGCCGCGGGTCCCAAAGGGCCGCTCCAGCTCCGTCCTCCTCTCCAGGCGTCGGGTTGCTTTTCAATCTATTAAATTCCGGCGATTTTTTTATACCATTTTAAATAAAATTATTATCTGTGTACATATCTTACCATTGTCCCCCCCTCCCATACATGCCCTCCCTCCCCAGAGTTTTGTGTCCATTGGTTGTATTTACATGCATGCATACAAGTCCTTCGGTTGATCTCTTATTCTTTTACTTTCTTAGCCTGGAGCTCAAGGAAGAAAGGAAGAGGCTGGGAAGATTCACAGGAGAGCAGCGGGGAAAGGCAGGGCCCCCCCTGGGGGAGGCTGGGGCGGCGGCCGGGCCTCACCCCCGCCCCCGGGGCAGGTGGGTGACCGCTGAGGCCGCTGCGGGGAGAAAGGCCAGCGTCGAGGTCAGAGCATCAGCAGGCCGTGCAGGACTAGACTTCGCACTCCCCTGGACCTGGATTATTTAGATTTCAGGTTTCTGCTGGGAAAATAAATGTACCTACTGTCAACTGACAGAGCAGAAAATGGACTATTATGCTATTTTGCTAAAACCGTGCGCTCTCTCTATCTCCAATTCTTCATTAATGTGAATGTGTTTGTTTCCCAAATAGTAAGCTTTATTTTCCACCTGGTTTTAGGAATTTCAAAGTGTAGCTTTCATATTTAGAAAAAACGGGGTATGCTTATTTTTCCATGCTCTTTACTCCCCATCCATTGTCTATTGATCTTAACATTTAACTGTAATTCATTTACTGTGAATTTTGGGCTGTTTTCCAAAACACAAGCAAAAAAGAAAGAAAAAAAAAAAGGGCAGAAGGCTAATTCTCCAGAATTAGAGTGATGAGAATTAATTTTTAAAATCTACAGTTTTTATTTACATTCACTGAAGCACTTTTCATTACCAAGTCAATTGTTTATACAGCTAGTTTTCATGCAGCTTTATAGTCATTGACCCCCTCCGGTTCATGGCTGTTAAATTATGTTTAGAGAAAAACAATTAAATGAGAAATATTTACATGATATTATTCTCATTAAAACTATTTGCTAATATGATCAAAATCATTCCTGCCCAATAGAGAAGTGGGGCTGTTTTCTTAATGCTAGCTAACCCTCATGAATGCTGTCTTAAATAACATAAGGGGTAGCTAAACTGTAATTAATCCTCAGACTCATTTAGACTGTTTTATTTAAAGCTTATCTTACATTTCATATATAAGGCCCCCCCCCCCCCCTTTCCTTGTCTGTAAGGTGGGATCATGGCAATACTAGGAGGTATTGCTTTAGGAAAGTATGGTTTTGGCCAGAGTCACCACATACACCTGCTGTGCACTGCACAACCACAGGTGGCACCAATCAATGGACTGAGATGCACTTCACAGACCAGAGTGTCTCAAATCACAGATCATGTGTGAGTACCTTTAACAGAACCCACTTCCAATGGTCTGCTACATAAGGGCTTGTTTCTCTTATGTAACAAAAAGCCTGGATGGCATCCCCCTGTACCTATCGGACAGTAATAGAGGGAGCAAATATATCTGTAAAAATGGCTGCCTCATCTGATGAAACTGAGTATGACTTGTGTTGATAAAATGATCCTGGACATGTTGACTTGATACAAACAGAACAAAATCTTTAGTAAAATCAATTAAACGTTAAACAAAAATTAATTTAAAAATGTTTTTTAAAGTTCGAAACTCGTAATCAAAAAATTTTTTTAAAATCAATATTACCACATTTTGACTTAGTAGTAGAAGAAAACATCATTAAAATGTTGACAAAAGTCTTTTCTAGCATATTTGCCAAAGAAGGCTCGGTAGTATTGGAAGTTAAACTTGTTTTTTACCTCTAAATCAACCTCTTGCGGGCCATAAGGCTTTTGGTGTGCCAGTTATCTGTTGCTACATCATATATCATAACCTAAAGTTTAGTGGCTGAAAACAAAACTGACTTACTATTTCTCACAATGTGGGGATTGACTGGGCGGCTCCAGATGGTCTCCCTGGGCTCCCTCATGCACTTGCATTCAGCTGGCTTGGAGGGGGGGGGGGGGGCGCTGCCTGCAGGTGGGGAGGGTGGCTGCAGAGAGGGAGGTGTATGTGTGTACGTGTCTTCTCCCCATGGCTGCTTCACAGCAAGGTGGTCCCAGAACTCCAGGCAGAATCTGAATCCTCTGGAGGCCTTGTTCTGGAATTCACCCAGCGTCACTTCTGCCAAGTTTGTAGG